CGTATTATGCAAATGTGAAATCTCGTCAATCTTTTTTCAGGTGTTCCCTCATGATTATTTCCTAAAGACGTTATAGTTTATCATACGTATATGTCATTTACCTAAGTACTTAATTTGTAAACCCAAAATTCACTTGACGCTTTAATCCATTATATAACTAATCGAGATCCGTGTATATGCGAGTTTATAATTTAACACTTTATAACCCAAAATAAATTATCTTGCCGCTATCTTGCAGGCCAATCTACACCATTTGGTTTGAGAGGAATAACATGCTCCATCGTAAACAACTTCAACCCAGTGGGACTACTTATCAGTCAAATAGACTTGACTGTGCGCAACCTATTATCAAGCAAACCCAAGCATGACCTCCTGTTTCAGGGTTCCATTTCTGTGGTATGATTTCACATCTTTTTGGACAATTCGGTTTGATGGTTCTGGCTTTCAAGAACTTGGAAGAGTACACATAAGTCTATCTAAGAATCTTCTAAGCTCTCGTAAGAGTAGTAAGGATCACGTGGTGGTCATGTGTAGTGACCAAAGCAGATCGACTTTAGAATGAGGGAATGATAAAACAACTTATGGATATCTCTCCTTATCTACCAACTCTGTCAGAACTTTGGTGAGTTCTTCGTGGTCTAATTGACTCTATGCTCTGATCCAAAACACCAAGAGATTTAGTCTAAGAAACTAAATCAGTCAATTAAACAAACAGTAATCAAATCTATCAATGTACATAAATAAAAAGCTATTATGCTTGGACTTTGCTGTTTAAATGAAAGTCTATAAGAGAAAAGGGTTTTCTGAGAGATGATTAATTCTTTGGCAAAATGGTACTAAAGGGAACTTGATCTCTTTAGCGTTCAACCAAATTATCACATTGTATACATCAGTCTGATCCTGGTCTGAAAAGAACATGAGCTAAATACATCAGCCGTCTCTGCGCATTTGGAGAGAAAGAAGCACACACAGGACCTTGATCTCTTAGCTTTCAATATCAAGATGATGAAAGTTCCTCCTGAAGCTGCAACTGGGATATACAATACTCTCTCTCAAACAACATAAACTCCTGCATTAGTATTGCATCCAAACCGATCAGATGGTACTCAGTTGCAGATAAGATCTCAATACTATATAGCTTGTGATGTTTTGCAGCAGAAGAAGCAAACAAATTTTCGGAGGCAAAACACTTAATAACAAACACTGATGCAGATGATAAGTTGCATAGCCAATTTGAAAAGGAAGAGTAGAAAATGGATCACAAAACGGCGAACGTTTTGACATTTTCTTCAGGGAGTAAAGAATTGGGTATTATTACTAACCTGTAATTGTTGCTGACTGAATAAAGAGAGAAAACCAGCTTCATCAGAAGCTACGAGCTCGATCAGGTCATCACGATCTTCAGGTGGATTTCCCGACTCCATTAGGCAAACAGAAACCTGTAAGTGAGTCGTTTAGTGGAGGTAAATTCATTAAACCAGGAATATGCATGTAGGTATAAGTTCAGCCTTCTATAGTTCTCACTAATGTAAAAGACCAAAGACTTTTTCTTCCCTGCAAAGATATTATCAGACACTTTTTTATAAGTCCGCAGTTACATATGTATGCATTATTAAAAACTATTATGTACTCTAGAGCTGCTGAAAATTAAAACGTGAAATCTGGACGAGGCGAGTTGCAAATGAAAGCTCTGGAAGAACAAGCTTTACCTGCATAGATCGAAGAACAAGCTCTGGAAGACAGCATCTCCTACAGAGACCGCGGACAATATAAGTTGCAGGTGTTTCAAGCGAGCCCTCTTTGCTTGAATACCAAGCGTCTAGGCGGGATATATCCATAGTAACACCTGCCTGGAACCGGCTAAGCTCACCTGCAGGAAAATTTTAAATTTTGCTTGTTTTATTGATGCTGGTGATTTCATCTTGGATGAAACATCTCCAAATTTACATGGAGAAAGGAGGTAAACCACAGTGAAGGAGAAATGTGTTTATAGACATCCCAACCTTTAAAACCAGCTGCCGTAACTGCGCTTAAAATACCCCCGTCATTTGCATTATGTGGCCCAAGTCCATCACCCTCAGTTGCTAAACACCGGAGCACTAACTCAATGCAGTAGCTGTCCCTTGATGAAATCGATACATTTACCTGCAACAAGGTTCAACAAAAATATTAACGTGGACTGCTTTCAAGATTGTGTCACATCTCTAGAATATATCCGATTCTGTTGCATAACCATTTTTGACAAAAACTTTCGCCCGGTGAATATGCACACTTATATATGGCCCTGGGTGAGGCAAAAGTAAGGTAACAGGGTAAAAAGAACAGATGCAACAAGAACATTGGTTGAAGGGAGTACCATTAACTGTCGCTCTAAAACAACTTCCTCACTGACAGAAGCATAAAGCGCACTCATCAATGCCGCACAAACAGTGGCATCTGGGCGCAAACATTCACCAGAAGGCAAACAGAGCATTGCAGTTGCATGCAACTCAAGGAACATATATTCTTCTGATTCAAATACATGGTCTTCGAGAAATGTCAACCAGGGATTGCCTTTTCCTATATTATGAGATTCAAAACTATCACACTTAACAGCATTTTCAATCAATGTAAAAATGCTCATCTTGCATTTAAGTCAACGCGATATAATAAAGTATGGGGTCACTTACTGAGGAGCAGTGACAAAGAAGAGTCCAAAGTCTCTTTGGCTGCTACAACAGCTTTCTGATTTTCCTCTTCTGACAGTTCAGTGACTTCAGCATTCTCTAATTGGAATTTGAGCCAGTTGCGATATTTTGCGTCACAGGAATAATACTCATTCTATTTAAAGACAAAGGATATACGTAAAGCTATTTAGGCCCTTAATGTTTAAATCAAAGGAATAACCAAAATTAAAAAACGCAGTGAAGCATACCCAGTCTTGGAACTCTTGCAAATTCTCGGAAACATAATCCTCGAGTGTATCAGGATTTTCTGAGAGTTGCTTCAGAGGTTCAGCAAGAAAACTAAGGAGTGTATGTGCACCCACAGGAGTTGCAGGCACCCTCCACATGGCAATCAAAGCAAACTCTCGGAAAAGTATGTTGCTGAAGAGAGGAAAACAAATAATACCATGAAACATAGGCAAACGTGAAGAAAATAAAACTGGAGGCAGACACTTTACATATTATAAAGGACTTCCGGTCCTATTGGATAACAGAGTTGCAAACTAGCCTACATGTGTCAGTGTGTAATGACCATACCTGTGCATCAAAGATCGCAGGAGTAATTTGGAAGTAACATCTTTCACATCCTTTATAGTAGATGGAGGTGTAAAACATAGCCACTGAATGGCTATAGCTTTTTGAAGACTCTGTTGACGATGCTGCTCTGCAACATCAACTGAGGGATCATATTTTGCAAGTTTGATTTCTCGGGATCTTGACAAAACCCTGTGAGTCCCATAAAGTTGCATTTCCTCAGCTTAAAAGAGTAAAAATGTATCTCACTATTACCATATAATAAGTCAGGAAAAAAATCTAACTATACCTGTCAACTATTTCTTCAAAATTTCCTTGCGAGTCATCCACATGAGAGAATGGCAAGTATTCCATAGCAGAAAGGAAGATTTTGTACTTAACATGTACGCTATTTTCAAGGCAGAAGGAAACAAATGTCATAAGAATTTACTTTATGCCATACATCTGTATGCAACGGGTGCTTGTCAGCAAACATAAATGCATAGTTGCGAGGGTCCCACAATCCCATATAAAGACTCTCGATATCAATTCAGATAGAAATTACCTGCTATGCATCCTTAGCTCCATCATGTGTACAAAAAGTTCAATGCAGCGGTGACGAGCAAGGTGAGAAGCATAAAGTCCTACTAGTTCTTCATGTTGCTTTGAAAATAGGAACATTGCATACCTGGCAGCATTTCACAGATCACTACAAAGCCAATTGAGCGTATATGCATGTAATGTATCATGAATAAGTATTTTAAGTTCCATAAACAAACTCTGTAACCAACTCAAAGTGACTCACATATGAAGAATAAGATCGCCAACATTACTGAGCTTCTCTCTGTCCTTGATTTCATCATCAAGCAAATACCTAAGAACAAGCACCAAGTGAGCACCGAACTTTATCATATGAGGATCGCCGTGGGGCCTGCCAGATGCATAACATATTGAGTCAAATTACCAATATGCCTATCTTTCTTCCTTATAATAACCAAGGAACATCAGCAAATAAGCAGAAGGTATTTCTCATTTAGAGACCCCTACCACCTCCCTGGGGAATTTTTGTTCATTTGGAAAGAAAATAATGCTAACAGAAAATGATATCCCAGAACTGTTTAATACAAGTAAAACTATCTTGAGAAAAGCTATTGATTACCTAAAGTTGCTTTGATCATCTTCTAAGGGTGCTATCCATGACCATATGATATCAAGAAGATGTGAGATATTCCCCAACATAAGGTTCATCTGCAAAAGAATGTATTAGCGATGACTACACACATATTATATGGTTCTTATAGCTTGATGAAAAACTATATTGCATCTAAGATACCTGAATTTGCCGGTGCTGCTCTTTGCATCCCCTCACAACAGCTTCGTGGACCATTTCCCTATGCCAGGAACAAAACAATATGTTGGGCTGTAGCTCTCCATAGGGAAGACAAAAATAAATTCTCTCAGTAGTTGCATGCATACCCTGAATGGAGTTTCTGAAGAAGGGCAGGAAGGTCACGGGGTTGTTGGTTTAGAACATGGAGGGGCCAATCTTCTGGCCCAAATGAAGCCTGACTACCATTTTGCATAGTTTCAGGGCTTTCATCAATGCAGCTTTTAAACCTTTCTGTCAAGCCTGGCTTTGATTGGGCGAGTTCTAGATCAACCTGAACATCAAGCCATGATTTTGCCATCGCCCAGCAAGCTGACTGCAGAAAAATCACCGTTGAGTCTAGAACAATGTCAATACACACAACGCCAGCACATAGACTACACTACCAAATATGTTAGAGCTTACAACAGTTTCCAGTTTTTCAAATATTATGCATAGGAGGGGTAGAGATGAAAACATGTATTAGCAATATTGCATACCCATCTTTAAACAATGACCAAATATTTCATGAGTGAGATACACGTGCAGGGTGGGGCCTATATAACTTAAGAAGAGCAATGACGTTTCAAATAAGCACCTTAAAATATAATGCTGAGTGTTTTGAGATGACAACCAAGAAAATATAATGCTCATGATATTTAAAAAAAAAAAACATGAGCAGCCAGGGAAGTGCGATGTTGTGCATGTTTTTACCTCCCAATCAGTACAAATTGGTAACATGCGGTTCAGGTTGCTACATTGGGTTGCAAAAACAGCAACTTCATGTTTGCCACCATCCTCCTCTGCAATTTTCTTCAGAAACAAAGATAAAAACAAAAATAATAAGTTTTAAGTTTATCTGAGTGGACCTTTTTTTCTGACTCATTAAGAAAGCAACAAACCTATCTAGAATTCGTATTACCTCTGATGCACAGTAAGAAGCCCATTTCCAAAGACGCAGCTGATTGCCAAAGCCACTTTCCAGCTCGATAGCCTGGAGAGTCCTATTTTTCCCATTCTTTATCAGCGCCTCAACAGAAGGAAACATGTCCATCCCAGAAAAAGGGCTCAAAGTTGCAGCTCTCCATGGCTGCCAAAGTAGAAATTTAAATCGACATTACAGCTACACCTTTCTAGTCATTACCTTAAGAGAATCTCTATTCCTTAGAAAGATTACCTGCCCAGCGGACCTGCAGAGATCACATGCCTCCTCTATTCTCCCAGCCCTTATCAAAGTCCAAACATCTTCAAGAAGAGATTCATCTTGTTTCTGCCAAAGAAAAGTTGTAAATATTAATTTTGTCCAACGGCGATAATCAAAAATACGACCTTCACAGTAAGATATAGGGATCCACAGGTAGGCTAGAACACACAAAAGAAGCACCCACAATTGCTATGTTATACGCCCTATATCAAGCAAAACAGCTACAAATAACTGAGAGGATTAAATATTAATTATGAAAAGCAAAAGTTGGCGGATTCACAAAGCATTGCTGTCTGGGCAGTCCCACCAACATTGTTTAATGTATACCATGTATTGCATATTAGATGAACAAATATTATCTACGGTAAAACATGCCCAACAGCACAAGGAAATTAAACGAACCTAACTTCAACCATAGCTAAACAGACTTACATTGTCATCAGAAAGAATTCGAGCATGTTCACGAGTTGCAGCATCAAAATCCAGATGGTGTACAGTGTCAGCGCCAGAGCCAGTTTTCTTGAGGTATCTTTGTGTGTGATGCCACACTCCAGCGTTAGGAAGATAAGTACCCACATGAGATCCCCGCACCTGAGAACATAAATATTTCCTTGTGACTAAATTCTAATTGAGTGTTAATCAGCTTTGTTCACTACGCAATCTTTACTTATGTTGAACAAAGTTAAGGAAACAGTACCAACCCCGTAAATATATGACAAGTAGAAAACACAAACACCTGACTCTGATTTGAGAAGCAATAATGTTGTGGAGGTGTTCTCAATGGGGTTCCTCATATAACATTCATATACAACCAGATCAAGCATTTCTATAGGCGCTACGCAAAGACTACAAGAAAATAAAAAGCAGTAGCAACCATTTTGTTCAACTTTTGTTTCTTATAATTGTGACAAAGTTACAGGAACTGCACAGCAAGTTGTGAGTTTATTAATGATCCTATGCATGAGCTCTACCTAGGAATTTGAAAAAAAGACCACATCAACCAACAGAGTATCATGCCAAAACGAAAATGGTAAACTAATATATTGAAAAATAGTATTTATTGGAATAGCCACCTTCCTTTCCAAATCAAGTGATTTTGAAGCTAGTTCTTCTAGCCACAGGACTATCCGAAGGCATAGCTGAGCTGTATGGCTGTTTACAGCAAACTGACAAGCCTCCAAATGAGATGTTGACGGGGACTGCCGACATAAAACAAAGTCAAATAAGTCCATTCGTAAGATGTACTAAATAGGAATGATTTCGTTAGTAATATGTTTAGAAAGAATGCATTACCATAATCAATTCCTGCGGAATGTCATCAGTAGCTGCAATTGCAAGAAAAAAGACGTATCATCGATAATACCATCTCTATATAGCCATGAAAATATTACATGGCACACAGAGCTTTAACAGACATCAGTGATCAAAATGAACACAATGCGTACTCCGTTTCAAAATGCCCAAAACAATAGACAAATGAAGCTGAAATTCCTAACCTTTTCCATATAGGTTCCATAAAAGTGACCAGGAGGCAGCCTCACCAAGCAAAAGCTGAGACTTCTGTCTCATAAGTTTATCCTCCACAACCCGATGTCTTATATCTGATCCATACCTGTAGATAAGCGAAACGGCATTGAACAAGAAACGATAACTTACAGAAAGAAGTTTGACGGTTTAACTCTCAGAGCCAGAAGACATACCTAATTGATTGTGAAACATCCCTGCATGACTCCTCAAGTTTCAATATTAGTTTTGGAATGGGCATCAGTCCTGCAAAACCAAGACGTCATAATTACAAGAAGAGATGACCAGACATAAATGAGACTCTTGAGATTACAATGCAAAAACAATATAACCTAGAAAGAGGAACACTGCTTAGTTGAGATTTTTGAAGAAAAAAATGATAAGCACACACATGCATACACAAACACACCCAAATATCTGCATATTCATGTATATCAGTATATACACATATTTTATACGAAGACTGATATATCATACAAACCTTGACGTGCAGAATCAAATAGGGAAGCAAATAAAGCAAATGTTGTATCTCCACTCTCCGCTAACTCATCATTCTCAATCTTGCAAGCCTTCAGTGATTGACTTTCTACTCGACGAAACAAATCCTCATTATCAGCATCCAGAATTCCAGCACTTTCCCTCCTAGAAGCAGAGAGCGGGTTTGCAGTTGTTTCTTCGAAATGATCAGTGTGAAAGTTGTCAACCTCCTCTTTAATGTTTTCAAGCAGCAAAGCTGTATTTGTTGGACTATGGATGTAATGCCCATCATACAGTAATCTGTTCTCGCTGACATTTGAACTCAAGATTTCCTCATGTGGCGATGTAGAGTGTCTCTTCCTACATGAAATGTAGGCATCAAGATGTTATACCTCAAACACGCAAAGAAGTGGTTAAACTAAACAACAAGCATCAATGCAGAGTTACATTAAACAAATAACACCAACAAAATTTTCAAGACTGATTCCTAGCTAGTTTTCTTCATCTCTATTAATGAACTTAAACCATACACAGATTCCAGAACTAAAACCATATACTCTAACAAGACTAAACACAAAACCTCGACCAAATTCCGGACCTTTCGAAAACAACCGCATTCAAATTTTGCTACAATCAGTCGATTTAGACTGAAGACCCAGGAAAATCCCACCTAAAACTCCAACATGACGAGACAAACGAAGCTTTCAAGCATCGGCGACACAGAAAATCGAGAATGTTTATTCAAATCGAAACAAAAGGGTAGTCGAAATTGTTACCGATAACGCCGGAATTGATCTCTAACACTGAGGACCTCAGGGTCGAAGTAGCTAGGAGAAGTGTCCATATCCATGTCCATTTCTTCACCAACGCAAAACCAAACCCAAAGAGCTACGAACCTTCAACTTCAAAATCCTCAGAAAATATAAAACTCAAGTAGCAGAAACGCGGCAAAGCTTGAGCGTCGATTAGGGTTTTGCGTCAGAATCTAAAACCCTATACAAATCCTCCGCCTTAAGACTCCGCCGGAGAAAAAAAAAATACAGTGCTACTACACGGAACAGTCACGCGGCTAGTGTTAAAGAAGCAAAGCTGCTCAAAACGCTGCGTTTTATTAACTCTCGAGTTCTGTAAAAGGGTACAAGTGTAATTAAATTGAAAAATAAGGGCAGTCTAGTTCTATTACAAGCTTCTTCTCACAGTGAAAAACGCTCACCAAGGCGTTTTATCCT